CAGATATTCTCACATCTAAGGTGGCATTGTTCGCTAATGATACTACCATTTATTCTTGTCACGATAAGAAGCCAACTCCCTCTGATTGCTTGCAGGGGGCATCTGAGCTCGAAAAGGATCTCACTTCTGCTACAGCATGGGGCTCGCAGTGGCTGGTGAACTTTAATTCAGATAAAACTCAATTTTTTTCAGCCAATCGTTATCGCAATAATTTAGACCTTCCTATATTTATGAAGGGTAATGTACTCGATGAGTCTCCTACCCTTCATCTTCTAGGATTAACTCTTACTTCTGATCTTTCTTGGAAACCTTATATCAAATCCGTTGCAAAATTAGCATCTGCTAAAGTTGCTTCTCTTTATCGAGCTCGTCACTTTCTTACTCTGGATTCTATTATCTATCTCTATAAATCTCAAATCCGGCCTTGTATGGAATACTGTTGCCATATCTGGGGCGGATCTTCTAATGATGCCCTTTCTCTTTTAGACAAGGTGCAAAAACGCATTGTAAACATAGTTGGACCTGCTCTTGCAGCCAACCTTCAACCTCTGTCACATTGTCGTAATGTTGCTTCTCTTTCTCTTTTCTACAAATACTATAATGGGCACTGCTCTAAAGAGTTAGCGTCTGTTGTGCCATCTACTAAAATTCATTCTCGTGTTACTCGTCATTTAATTAAGTCTCATCCTTTTTCTGTTACTGTTCCTAAGTGCTCCAAAAACTCTTATTCGTCTAGTTTTTTTCCTCGAACATCAGTTCTTTGGAATTCGCTTCCTTCATCTTGCTTTCTTGATTCATATAATTTGCAATCTTTTAAGTCGTCTGTCAATCGTTATCTTGCTCTACAATCTTCATCTTTTCTCTTCCAGTAACTTTCAACCCTAATTAGTGGTTGCTTGCAACCTTGTTGGAAGCGAAGATAATTAAAAAAATATATGTATATATATATATATATATATATATATATATATAATATATATATATATATATATATATATATATATATATATATATATATATATATATATATATATATATATATATATATATATATATATATATATATATATATATATATATATATATATATATATATATAATTATTAAGATATATTTCAATTACATAACTAAAAGTTTCACGCAATAGCGATCATCAGATGTAACAACAATAAAAAAGTAACGACAAAAATTATATACAAAAAATGCAATGGAGTGTCCGCTTTGATGACATTAAAGTTTTTTATTAGAAAAAGTTCAGTGGAGTTGGCCTTACTTTCATAAACAAAGGAGTTTTTATGTTTATATCACCTGTCTTTGAAAGTTTTCTCAGTAAGCCCAACGTAATAATATCCTTCTTCTTCTTGGTGAGTTTTTGCGTTGCAAATATAAATAAGATTTTTTGTAAGGCATTTTCCATTGAGTGGGTATAAGGTGGTTTGTCGACAATTGCATAATTGAATGGCATTTTCATGAGAATGATATAATATCGTTTTATTATGTGAAGTAATAATACTCTTGATGTTTGGAAGGCAGCTATAACTAACCTTTAAGTTGTTTCGATTAAAAAGTTGGTGAAATTTGTGGCCTTTAGGGAAACATTTATCAATTGTACTCAAAAATGGAAACTCAATGGAAAATGCCTTACAAATGCCCACTCAATGGAAAATGTCTTACAAATGCCCACTCAATGCCCACTCAATGGAAAATGCCCACTCAATGCCCACTCAATGGAAAATGCCTTACAAAAAATCTTATTTATGTTTGCAACGCAAAAACTCACCAAGAAGAAGAAGGATATTATTACGTTGGGCTTACTGAGAAAACTTTCAAAGACAGGTGGTATAAACATAAAAACTCCTTTGTTTATGAAAGCAAGGCCAACTCCACTGAACTTTTGAAAATTGTGTGGGAATGCAAAAATAAAGGTATAGAACCTATATTAAAATGGAATATTCTCGATTAAGCGGAGCCATTCAAACCTGGTGGTAAATTTTGCAATTTATGCTTGACAGAAAAATACCACATTATTACGTCGCCATTAAATTTGCTTAACAAACGAACCGAGTTTGCATCAATATGCCGCCATGAAAATAAATTTCTAATAAAAAACTTTAATGTCATCAAAGCGGACACTCCATAGCATTTTTTGTATATAATTTTTGCCGTTACTTTTTTATTGTTGTTACATCTGATGATCGCTATTGCGTGAAACTTTTAGTTATGTAATTGAAATATATCTTAATAATTATTTAGTTTTCACTATATTATTTGCTCTACTAATTATATAAAACGCTGTATTGAGCACTCTTACTGGAAATATTAATATAATTCCTACAATATATATATATATATATATATATATATATATATATATATATATATATATATATATATATATATATATATATATATATATATATATATATATATGTATTTTATGTGTGTGTATATATATATATATGTTTTTTTTTTATGTTCATTTAACTCCCTAAGGCCGAGAAGGCCACTACAGATAAGGAAGCTACTTAACTGTGGTTATAACTCTCTCTCAACTCTTTAACTCCGAAACACGAACCTTGACGAACAAGGTCGCTGTGTGGAAAACAAGTTGGATGCGGTAGTACCAGGGATGTAGTAAGGATAGAACTCGGAACCTCTCGTTTTTGTAGCAAGCACTTTACCACTACACGACTATTGCATTGCATAAATAAAACATATATATTTTGCAAACATATATCTATTTATATATACATATACAAGCCAGGGGCTAAACATTCTAAAGGTGAGTGAAAAAGATATTTTGGCGCCTTAATAGAATAAACTTTTTGAAAAAAAGTCATAAGTAATTTGTCTTGAAAATAGTACTTTTCAAAACAATACTTCTAAACAATGTTAATTTCTGGTAAGTGGAAAAATGCAAATGCATTTTTCCACTTACCAGATATTAACATTGTGTTCTTAATTAATTAAAAAATTTTAAAATTGTACAATTATACACTAAATAAATTAACTTAATGTTAAACATTATTGTGAAAAGTCAGCAAAAGTGAAGGATAACCTCAACAGATGATAGCGTAATTAAACTTTTTTATGTTTATAAGACGTTTAAAAGCCTAACAAAATATTATTTAAAACGAAATTTTAAGTTTTACTTTTAGAAAAAAACAACAGCTTTAGTAAAAGAAAAATCTTTATTATTTGGTCTCACGTTTTACACATGCACTGCATGGTAAAAGTTTGGAGAGTAACTATATATAGTCAACTAACTCCTAATTTATCGTTTTTAATCATAAAAAAATAATAGAGAGAAATTACTTTGTTTCATTACTGAAACTCACTGCTTCCAATCATTCACTAAAAACCAAGACAACATTTTTGCTATTAAATATTTATAAAAATAACAATTTGTTTGTTACATTTGTTTATTACACAACTTGTTTTTTTTTTCTTTACTGGTGTTAATAGGTTTTAAACATAATAGCTTTTAACAACTATTTTGAAACCATTGCAAAAAGATATCATAAATTTTATCTGTTTTCTACTTTGGTGAAAAAATATTTGTTTTTGTTTTAATTAACTTTATTTACTATCACATAATTATATTGATAGATATTTAATAACTGTAACTATTAGCAATAAATATTGGCTCTAATTATTTTAATGGAAACTGCTATTGTAACAGAAGCTGTTATTTCTTTAAAGTTGTTATCTCTTTAATGTTGTATTACTCTGTTAAGCAACACCAACAACCAGTGGCATTACTGAGGTTGATGTCACATGGAGCGGCACCTCTCTAGACTAAAAACCAAACAAAGTCCTAAATAACTTGAAATTTCTTAAAAATAACAAAAAAAACTTCAGAATAAAAATTCTGGCATATTTGCTTTTTATTTATTTTAGTGTCACCCCTCTGATGGTGTCACCTGGTGCAGACCACACCCTGTAGCAATGCCACTACCAACAACTGTTTTTTTTTTTTTATCAAAACAGGTTATCAAAAACAGGTGTATTGATATCCGTTTTTTTTATGTGATGTACTTTAATTTTTATATATCATAATTTACTTTTTTTAATTTTAGATCTATGACATATTTAGGCATTTTAGAGAACTAAGTTATCATTTGTTAATTTGTGATAATTTTGGGTGTAAATATATATACTTTCACTTTTTCCATTTAGTTTTAAAATAACTATGCTTGTCTGTATGATAAACAAAAAGAAGTAGCTTAATACATTTGAGAATTGAAAATATTTCTACCGCTATTTTCTACCAATTACTAAAACCTATTAAAATAAATAGACTATTTGGAGATCAGAATATAAATGGTAGGTGTGAAACCAACCTACCATTCAATAATAAAACCAACCTAATAAATAGGTTTTTTGTTTTCAAAAATGTCTTAAAACATGAAAATACACAAAGAAAATTGTTAGGATAGCACTTTTTTATCTATGATTTACTCTCTAATTACATCTCTACTCAATTACATAAGTCTGCACACTTAAAAGAAACAATATTTTTTCTAGAAAAATAAGTATTTTAAAACTATTTTTTATTTAATTACTCTCAGGTGCATAACATAAAAGTGTGTGTGTGTGTTTGGGGGGGGGGGGGGATATAGTCCAGAGTCTGGTGAGAAATAAATGTTTATTAATTTTGACAAATCAAAATTTTTTAAAAGTCGATGATTTTTAAAGATTTATTACACTTAAAGTTTTTATTCTTATTACTGACTGATATGTTTATGTTTTGTGATATTGTTTTTTTTGTTAATAACAAGAAAAACTATTAAACATCCATCCCCATTAAAACTCATCAGTAATAAAAAGAAGGATTGGAAGGAGGGAAGGTGTTGAGAGAAAAAGGGGGAGGGAGTTGGAAAAAAGATTAGTTTTAGGTGTCTAAACCCAGTGTTTAGTTAAAGATATAAAGTTAATTTAAAGCTATGAAGTGTAAAACATAATAAATCTTATTAAAGTTCTTTTTTATTCAAAAATACCTTATAAATTCTTTGGGGTAATGGGCAATTTAATGGAAGCATACATTCTGCACAAAACTGATTTTCTAAAATATGATATTGAAATTTAGGATTGGTTTTACAATATTGATCTGATGGCAACCGTGAACAATATCTAAACATATTTGAAAGAAAGATGTAAACATTTAATGATTTTATTTGAAATAATAAAAAAATCTAATTAAAATGAAGGATTTTATTTGAATAATCAAACATTTAAAATCAAAACTATATTTATAAATCTATAAAAAATTTTAAAATTAAAAGCTGAACCTGTATAAAAGTGAAATAGCATTATCTTTAGTTATTCGGGGTGCATCATAACCATTATGCGAAAAATATACAGGAAGATTTTCATCTTCTTCATTCATCATCTCAATTTCAATTTCTTCATCTGTTGGTAGAACACGATTTTGGCATTGTTCAAACAAGATTTCCTCAATTTGTTGCATGACCTTTAAATGCAAATCATGATAAATAATTGAAAGTTAAAAAAAAGTTTTTTTTAATTTTAAAAAGTTTTTATACAGTTAAAGACTACTTTCTTTTTAAATTTTTGTTGTTTGAAGTATTTTTTAAAAAAGACATATATATTTTAAAAAGTTTTTATACAGTTAAAGACTACTTTCTTTTTAAATTTTTGTTGTTTGAAGTATTTTTTAAAAAAGACATATATATTTAAAAAAGATATATATATATATATATATATATATATATATATATATATATATATATATATATATATACATATATACATATAGTTCTATAAATTGTTGGTTTTGAGAGTACGAAAGGTAAAATATGATTCTTTTGACAACAAATACATCACTTTTAATTACTTTTGATTTTTATACAACATTTTTGTGTTGTCATGAAGTTAAAACCATTAATTTAATTGCAAATTAATTATTGTTTTAAATAACTGCAAAAACGCAAATTTAATTGACCAGAATGTTTTTAAAAACATTCCGAATGTTTTTAAAAATATAAACAATCTTTTTATTTTCATTTTTAAAATAAAATGTTATTTTTATTTTTTTTACTGTAAATCATGTGCGAATGTTGCTACATTGACTATCTTATAACCTGACCTACAACAGAGTGCTGCTACATCAACTAACAAATAGCCTGACTTGCGACAGAGTCCTGCTACATCAACTGAGGGTTTGGTTTGGGCAGGCAGTCTATCAAATAAAGATAAAAAAAAATTTTTTATGGTCTTGCATTTAAGTTTCAACAAAATATGGAAAAACTTTCTGACAACCAAGGGCCAAGGGTCTATATATACATAAACTTTAATGTGTCAAGAAACAAAAGTTAAAACAAAAATTTATTTTACTTACTAAATGTTGTTTCTTGGTGTTTCGAGCTCTTGTCTTTCTTCTGTCATAATAATAAATTTAGACCCACTTGCTCGTGCTCTTCCCTTTGATTGGGCATATTCTCTATAATTATTTATACCATCAAAACGTACGACTAAATTACATTTACGAACATCAAGCCCTTCTTCAACAACACTTGTTGAAACCAAAACATTAAACTTATCCTGCTTAAAATTTGACAAAACCAAATTTTGCTTTTTCGATCTCATAGCACCATCTGCAAGGCAGATATTAGCATCAAAAGCATGTCCAAGAATATAGTCACTATTCAAACCTTTATATGTTTCATCCTTTTCAACTTGATAGTTTATTAACTTGCTGAGCACAACAGCAGTACATCTTCTTTGTGTAAACACAATAGCATGCAATTCTAAAATTTATGAGTTATACTAATGAAACAAAAATTAAATGAAGCAAAAGCAAACTATAACTATAATTTTTTAACTTAGCCTGTGATACTTTTTTAATAGCAATTAACAAAATTAAACAATTAGCAAAGTAAACATGGATCTATATTAACATGCTCTATACATGGATTGCAATTTCTAATTTAATAAGCATAAATTTATTAAACTGTGATGATTCTGATTTTTCTCATGCGACTACAATCATAACCATTTTATAACCATTGTGATATAATAATTATAAGCCTTACAATATGGTTATGACATGACAGATATTTAGTTTTAAAATGATAACCATCATACCATAATCATAACAATTTCGTTTCAATATTCATATCATGTTGTCACCAAATTTTACAAAAAAAATTTAAAAATTCTAAGATTTTTTTTTTTTTTTTGATTTAAAAATTTTTCTTTTTTTTTTGGTCTTTTTTTACAAGTAATATTTTATTTAAAATTTTCTTAATACCAAATAAATGTAATGAAAATAACTTTTATAAATAATATAAATAAAAAACCTTTAAAAGAATTCTTTTCTGCTAACAACACATCCCTCAAAAAACTGGCTGCTTTTGTTGTCAAAAGTGGTTCAACTGGAATAATATTTTCAATGGAAGAAAAAACATAAACAGCTTCATCTTCAAATTCTTTAATAACTTTGTTTAAAGATTCTTTGCATTTCGTCAATACATCTTTTATTTCTCTATTTAGCATTCTTCGTTTAATGTGATTATCTGAATTTACAATAAAATCCTCTTAAATTAATATAATATATGTATATATATATATATATATATAAATATATAAATATATATATATATATATATATATATATATATATATATATATATATATATATATGCATATATATATATACATATAAATATATAAATATAAATATATATATATATACATATATTTATATATATATATATGTATATATATGTATGTATATATGTATATATATATATATATATATATATATATATATATAATATATATATATATATATATATATGTATATATATATATATGTATATATATATATATATATATATATATATATATATATATATATATATATATATATATATATATATATATATATATATATACATATATATATGTTTATGTATTTTTGTATGTATTTTTTACCTGATGATTGCTAAACGCATGATACTTTTAGTAGTTTAAATAAACTTTTTAATGTTAAATAAAGTTATTTATATTATTGTTTTTTTATTTTTTTATGTATTCTTATTTCATTTGACATATAAATACACATTAATAAATAAAAATAAGAACTAAATAAATTTTTGTATATATATATTAAACAAAAAAAAAAAGATTATTTACTATTCTCCTAATATAACAAAAATCTGTTAGTCTTTTTTATTATTGTTTTACTTAAACAAATCGTTTGTAAATGCAATTATGGGTCATCTGTAAAACAAATTCTGAACCCCTTTCCTCTTGTCACAAACGATCACACATACCTGAACCTCTCTCCCTAAACTGTGATAGCAGTTTTTTTTGTCAAAAATATTTTAATAAAAGATTTAAATGTAAGTACTTTGCAGCATTTTAAAAATTTAATCTAATGAAAATATGGCAATATACATAAACATAAGAATTATTACTAAAATTTTTAACTAACCATACATTTTTTTATTTAAATGACTTAATAAGTATTAATAAAGTTATCATACTAAAATAACTTTTTAAGTTGCTCTTGGTCTTGTGTAAGAGCTGTTTTCCATTAAATAACTTTCATAAATGTTATGAAAAATCCCTCAGGAAGAGTGTCACCAGTTTTTTAAAATTTCCTTTATTAATAATCTTTAATGAATAGGTTCAACTCTTTTGTTACATAACTCTAACTCTGAATAATAGATATCAAAAATCGACAATAAATATTGTATTGTTGCTTGGTAACAAGTGAAGTAGCATAAGTTAAATACATAGTATCAAAAAAACAAGTTTATTTTTCTTAGCCGGTCACCTCTGATAAAATTTTATATATTTTTTAAACTGGCATAGAATTCTTAACATCTTGTAAATATTCCTAATACAAATCGCTTGACTGATTCGTAGAAATCTGACCTAAATGTTGAAGCAATTTTATTAGCTTGTTTTCTGTGTAACGTAGGTTAAGTGGCATTTTCAATAATAAGCTCGCTGTTTATTGGCAACACACAGAAAATTTTAGCCTATTTTATTCTTTAGACTAGCAGCTTCCATAAAAAATAGCTAAAAGCTTAATTTACAGTTTAAATAGGCAAATATTTGATAAAGTTGTAGCATGTGTAACGTAAGTTAAAAATATAATTGCCATATAGAAAATGAACTGAAATTTCTTATTCAAGTATTTGTTCAAAATAGCTACAAACAGTTCAATCTTATTAAAATCATAAAAAAAATCAATTGAAAGAACAAAAAATTACTAGTGACTACTAAACACATCAAAAACATCACAGGTACCATGGACCTATAAGAGATGGACGTGCAACCTTTTGTTTTACATCAAAGAAACCATCAAAATTAGCGAGCCATGCGTTTTCACGATCATTAGCAAAAAAGTATTAAAAATGGCCAACCAAAGATTTTTAGTAAGGATTTAATAGACGATTCTGTAAAGTGATTTTTGTAAAAAATGAATCATTTATGTGCTTGCAAATTATTGTTTAAATCAAACATAAATAAATGATGTTTATTACAAATACAAAGATATAATAACAGATTTTTTATAATACTTAGACAAATACTTCCTGTTTTTAAGTAAACGTCAACAATAAAATTAACACATAGAGAGAGCTTTTTAAAAAAGATTTATGGATTGGATATTTTAGTCAAGTTTTATATTTTATATTTCAGTTAGTATTCTTACCATTCAAAGTCTAAATTCTTTGCTCATTTTGTTTCAACTTTAATATATTTTTATGTTTTCTCCAACATGCCGCTTTTTTTTTGCCTTCTTTTATTATACGTTATGTTAACAAATTAAAAAAACTCTGTTTTGAAATTAATTTAATCATCCTAACGTAATACAAACTGTTTCAATTTAATTATAATAATACTAATTTTATTATTAACTTTTATAACAAACAGTTTGCTTTCAAAACTAGGCTACAATTAACCAAATTACCTAGATAAAAAGATTGTTTTAACATTATAAAAAGATGTAGTTTTTTTACTACTTCTTAACAACTAAAATAACTTCAATGATAACATCGTAATTGCATACTTGCTGTTTGCTTTAAAAATTAGTTTTCTATTATAAAATCACAAAGAACTACATTTTACATATTTTTAATACACAACTTTTACATAAAATTGTGAACGCTTACGAACAATGTTAATGTTATAATAACTAAAGTACTGCCTTGACTGTTCATGAATTTTTAACAACAATATTATGAAAAACTATAATTTAGACTGACTAAACAAGTTCAATAAATTGTTAAAAAATCGACGTATAGTATCATAATTATTTTCTTTTGTTTAAAACAATAGACTTGTAACAATACAGATATAGTTTGCAAAAATAACAATAAGTTGCACGTTTATCTCTTATACGTCCATGCCGGTAGGCATCAAACGATTTCATTACCTTGGGTGCCAATATTGACCAAATTACATAAGATGTTTAGAAACGCAGGATATAAAACGGTCTTCAAATCAAACTTGAACATAGAGGCAATATTAAAATCAAGAAATAAATCCCAACTACAAATGAACAGCCACCCAGGAGTATACCTTATTAAATGCCATTGTAGCAAAAAGTATATAAGTGAAACAAAAATGCAAAATCATGCATACAACAACATAAAAACAGTACAATAGAAAATAAAACAGAACGATCTGCATTAGCCACACTCAAGAGACATAGTTAATTTGTTGTGTACCCAAAAGTACACAACAAATTAACAAGGACAGTTTTTTTTTTTTTTTTATTTGCATTCACTCCCAACAAGGCTGCAAGCAACCACTATTAAGTTGGGAGTTACTAGGAAAAAAAAAAGAACAGAGTTATAGAGCAAGGAAACGGTTGACAGAAGACTTGAAAAGTTGAAGGTTGTATGAGTCAGGAAAACATGAAGATGGGAGAGAGTTCCAAAGAATTGAAGTGCGGGGAAAAAAACTCGATGAATAAAAGTTTTTAGAGCATGCAGGGACAGATACAGTAAACAAATGAGACTGAATGACGAGTAAAACGAGAATGAATTTTAGTTGATGGAACTAGAGATGATAACTCCTTTGAGCAGTGACCATGATAGTATTTGTAGAAAAGAGAAAGTGATGCAACTTTACGACGATGAGAAAGAGGTTCAAGCTTAGCAAATAGTCTAGGTCCAACAACATTTACAATGCGTTTTAAGACCTTGTCAAGAAGAGAAAGTGAATCGTTAGAAGAACCAGCCCAAATATGACAACAGTATTCTATACAGAGACGAATAAGAGATTTGTAGAGGTAGAGAATGGAATCAGAAGGAAATGGCGAGCACGATAAAGAGAAGCAACCTTAGCAGAAGCTAATTTAGCAATCGATTGTATATATGGTTTCCATGAAAGGTCAGTAGTAAGCGATAATCCAAGAAGACGTAAAGAGGAGGACTCAGTAAGAGGATTGCCATTCATTAATATAGAAATGTTGACCTTATTACGGTAGTTGTTTGTAGTAAGCAATTGGGTTTTTTTAAAGTTGAAATTCACAAGCCACTGTGAACCCCAATTGATTACTGAAGTGATATCAGATTCAAGATCAGCTGCTTGTTCTAGGCAATCGAAAAGAGAAGACTTTTTGTCAAGACAGGAGTATAAAGTTGAGTCATCAGCAAAAAGAGCTACTTTAGATGAAAGGTTGTCAGGAAGATCATTTATGTAGATAAGAAACAAAACAGGGCCCAGGATGGAACCTTGGGGAACCCCAGAAGTTACTGGAAATAAAGAAGAGTGTTGGCCTTCAAGGATGACTTTAATAAACCGGTTAGAAAGAAATGATTTGATAATCTCAAAAACTTTCCCAGAAACACCATATGAAGCAAGCTTATGGAGAAGACCAGCATGCCAAACTTTGTCGAAAGCTTTAGATATGTCGAGAGCAATAGCCCTAGCCTCACTGCCTCCATCTAATGCACGATAAAATCTTTCAGTTAGCAAGTCGGCAGTTAGCAAGTCGGCCGTAGAGCGAGAGGATCGAAAACCGTATTGATTGCCTGACTGCAGTTTATTTGACTCAAGATGAGATGTGAGGAATTTGTTGATCAAAGACTCAAAGACCTTGCTAATAACAGAAAGAAGACTGATCGGACGATAATTGGAGGGGTCAGAATTTTCTCCAGAGTTTTTGAATATTGGAACCACAGATGCCATTTTCCAACAAGCAGGAAAACAAGACTCAGTCAAACACTTGTTAAATAGTTTAGAGAGAATTGAAGAAAGTTCTGGAGAACAATTCTGCAAAACTGTGACAGGAATGTTGTCTGGACCACAAGCTGTAGATGAGTTTAATTGAGATATGACTTTAGCAACAGAAGCCGGAGTGATTTGAATGTCTAACAATGGGTCAACCTGTTTGACTGGAATGGAAGGAAGAGAATGTCCATAAGATTCAAGAGTGGAATTAGAAGAAAAGTTCTTTGCAAATAGTTCTGCCTTATCCTTGGGAGAGGTAATAAGATCAGTCCCATGAATGAGAGATGGAATGTTAGATCTACCCTTGTTAATAATGCTG